ACTCGCTCCGAAGGTCCAAGGCACGTGGAATATTCATCACGCAACGCAAAAATGCTCCTTAGATTTCTTCGCTCTACTTAGCTCTGTCTCTGGTACTGCCGGTCATACAGGACAAGCAAATTACGCGGCTGCCAATACCTTCTTGAACGCGTTTGTCACTTATCGTCACTCCAAAGGGCTACAAGCTAGTGTACTCGATATCGGCTTTATGGGAGATATTGGAGTTGTCGCTGAAACGTCTCATAAAGTTAGGGAAATGGTCGAAATGAGCTCATGGGAAGTGCTGGAAGAGCCTGATTTACTCAAGGCCCTGGAAATACAGATCATGCGAGGTGCTCCCCACCTTTGCATAGGAATGGGAACAACGAAACCAGTATCAGAGATCGAGAACGGCAGCACGATTGGGCAAGACGCACGCTTCCTGGCGTGGCATAACATGCTAACTGCGTCGGAAGGTGGGAGAGCTAATCAGGATAACGAGCTCAAAACGTTGGTCAACGCGGTCAAGCGCGACCCCTCTCTTCTCTACGATCCAGCTACTGAGGCCAAGATTACGCTCGAAATCGGTCGAATGGTTGCCTCGAACATGTCCTATCCTGATGACATGCCGTATGAGGAGCTATGTGAGATTGCAATTGACTCGTTGATGACCATCGAGATACGTAGTTGGTTCCGGCGAAATGTCGGCGTTGAGGTATCACTCGCTCAAATATCGGAGGCACAGAGTGTCAAAGGACTCGGCACAATTACCATGCAGGTCCTCCGTGAGAAGCACAAGTCCGGGGAGCTTGAGAACGCGAAGGGGTCTCTTGTCAGTTACGGCAAAGACGATATTGATGAGAGCGTGCTCTATCGGGCGGACTTGGAGTTGGCTAAGTTTCTAGAGCCAATATCAGAGCACGTCCCGTGCTGGCATTCCGAATCTGAAGGACGGGTGTTTGTGACCGGATGCACCGGGTTCCTGGGTGCTTTCTTTCTCTCTACTCTAACTAGTCACCCGCGGGTGAAGGAGATCGCGTGCTTGGTGCGAGCGCCAGATGCCGCAGCAGGCTTGGCACGTATCAAGGAGAACCTGGAGCACTACGGACTGTCATTGGACTCTGAATCTAAAGTCATCGTGGTACCTGGCGATCTCACCGACTCGACACTGGGACTCGGGCAAGAGAAATACGAACATTTCGCTCAATGGACCAGTGTTATCTTCCATCTTGCCGCCCAATGCAACTACATGCCTTCATACTCGGAGCTCCGCGGCGCCAATATCCATGGGTTTTCGAATATTCTTCGGTTCGCCAATACGAAGCGCCTCAAGCCCGTACATTATACCTCCAGCATTTCAGCCTGCGGAACATCTGCATATCTCGAGGGTAGGGAGCTTATCGGCGAGAATGAAAGACCAGCCCTCAACACTACGGACTCCGAACGAAAGCTCGTCGGTTACAGTGAGACCAAGATTGTGGCCGAAAGTATCGCCTGGGATGCCATCGCAAACGGCATGCCAGTAACCATCCATCGCCTACCCGTCATTTCCGGCCACAGCAAAACGGGAGTCGCCAACCCCGGGGACGGATTCCAACATCTGATGGTCAGCTCCATTCGCGTTGGATGCTACCCCTCCCCCCCAGCGGCCCGCTGTCAGATAATCCCAGTCGACTACGCCAGCTCAGCGATCCTGGAAATTGCGCTCAGCAGCCATCACAGCCATGCCTATAACCTTGTCATACCTGATCAGTCTCATACGCTGACATGGGATGATGTTCTAGACACGGTGGCACATTATACATCCCCTCCGTTGAAACGGGTATCGGCTTTAGAGTGGGCTGATATTGTGGCAACGCATGGTGAACACCATTTCAAAGTCGCCTCGACGTTCTTGCAGGATAAAATTCGGGAATTGTTGGTGTACTGGGAGGCGGAGACGATGACGAAGACTATGTATGAGAATGCGAATAGTCGGCGTGTTTTGCTTGCGTCATCGGATATGCCGAAGTTGCCTTCTATGCCGGAGCTGTTGAGTACGTACTTTAAGGTTTGGCAGATGGAGGAGCAGAAGCAGCATCGGTGATGTCGGGGTTGCTGGGCTGAGCTGGAGGAATGGTGAGGAGGGCAAGGACAAAGACAATGAAGTATTCTTTCATGGAAAGAAATGTTAATTAGGATATAATAGGAATTAGACGATGACGATTACTGTCGAGGCATTCATGTAGGCTAGTCACGTGCTGCGTTCGGACTGCCTACAAAGCACCTCTTTGCATTGCTTTATTTTGCTCTCCTAGATAGCTTAATTTAACTTATTTTTTTACTTCTGTTCATTTGTTTTATTATTATTTTTATTACTGCTTCTGTAGAGTATTTCTCAAGAAATTATAAGCTTAGTCTTTATACTATGAAGCTATTCAGATTTTATTACAGCCAGTTATTATTACTAGATAAGATATTCTACAGAATACTGGTCTTAGTAAGCCTAATAAGTCTAATAGAATTATATATTTATATTAAGAAGTATATCTTATCTATTTATTTATTTATTTATATTAAATATATTAAATAGCTAGTATAATATGCAAAGTTAAATATAGAATCTTATTTAAAAATTTTTTTTTAGAGAGAGAAGCAGTCATCAAGATTATCTTATAAATAAATAAATTTTTTAAATAAATGCTTGATGGTATTCCAGGACTGTTAATCTTATTAGAAAAATATATAAATTAAATAAAATAAGATTTTTAAATATATTAAATACTTAAGAATATTAGTCTACTAGACCTGATTAATAAGAATCTGGCTAGTGTCAAGGTGCGGGCTGGCAGGGGTGGTAGGAAGGTAGCTTGAACAGGAAACAGGAACAGGCGGGAGACTGGCTGGCTAACTATGGTCAGGCTATGTACAGGGAGATAGACAAGACGTAGCTCGAAGCTATGAACGGGGTCTGGGAGACTGGCGAGTTTTGTGTCTCTCCAGGTCATGTGCTCGGGCGGTCAGTCCGGGCAGTACTCCACGGCTAGCACCGTGACATAATCTAGATATCTCTAACTTCTATAAATACAGAATATCTGATAAAGGAATTAATATTATTAAATTAATTAATTATTAAATTCTAATTTTATCTATAAATAATAAATACTACAAGATTAAAATCAAGATATTCTACTAACTAAATCTTATATATAATTTTTTATCTATAATTCTCTTATAGAAGAACTTCAGAATATATATAAATATAATTAACCTGACTCTATAAAAAGAAATAAATAATAAAATAATAAAATATCTGTAAGAAAATAAAAATATATTTTTTATATATACTTAGAATACAGAATTAATCCTTACTGCGGTTAACTTCTTATTATTATATTAATAATATAAATATACAGAATTCTATAAGATTATCTTCACTGCGAAGAACTAGTAGATTAAATTTAAATATTATAAGAATTTATACTGTAATATATATTTTTTAGAAAAAGTAAAATACTTAATATTAAGAAATCCTATTCTAAGAATCTCTAATTTTATATAATTCTAGTATACAGATATACAGCAGATAACCCTGGTTAATTATAGAAAATTCAAATATTTTCTAGTAATAATAAATAATACTACTTAATTAATTAGAATAATTATATTAAAGTAAAAAGACAATACCTCCACAGAGCTAATTTAGATAAATAATAAAAAATAAAAAAATAGTTAGTAGATATATTGCCTCATGGTATCTTAATAAGAGCCATGAATTTAATAAATTTAAAGAATAAGTATATTATAAAAATTAAGAAATTTATATTATTATATTACCTCTTTAAACACCCGAGATAAATAGTCTTATTAAATATTATAATAATTTATTTAACTAGATAAGCAGAGTTATAATTCTTAATTCAGGTTTATCTGCAACTCTCTGATTATTTATTATGAGACTTATTATATAGATTCTTAATTATCTAGTTCCTGCAGGGAGCAAGATTAAAGAAATATTTATTTATTTATATAGATTATATTATAATTTTCTGAATCCTGATGCCTTGCTTAAGTTTCTATATATATTTAAATATTATTATTATTAATATATATTTATAAAGAACTATATTATTTCTAGAAAAATAAACCTTTATACTGATACTAGCTATTTTATCAGATTTAACAGAGATCATAGTTATATTTATCTAATATAATATTTTGATTTTAATAAGATTAAATAATTAAGAGATATAATATTCTATAAAAAATATATACTATGGTTGACCCCGGTAATTTTGTTAGTATGGTAGAGAGGTGCAGGGGGTTGAATCCTTCCAATTCTGCTGTTTGTATGATTATTAATACTTTGTATAGCTATCTTCCGTGTTAATCACTGTCTGGCACCTTGCAGGTATACTATTAATTAAATTATTCAAGAATGCCTCTGGTAAAGCATCCCACGCAGCTTGTATAATCTCATGTAGTTAATCATATAATAACTGCTCATCCTCGGGGTAGTATTACTTGATCTAGTCTTTAATCCAGTTCTAAACAGCTTTAATTGGATTGAGATCTGGTGAGAATACTGGCCAAGTAATTAGAAAGATCCTATACTTATTAAATTCTTGAATAATGGTCTTACTTGTATGACTAGAAGTATTATCTTGTATTAATTAAAGTTATTATCCGTTGCGTTTAACTAAGTATATGAAACTATTGATAATAGGAAGAATATGTTCAGTATAGCTTTTAGTATTAATATTTCTCTATTCTTTCTCCCAAAAGAGGTATAGTCCTTTAAAATCACTGTAAAAAGAGGTCCAAAACATCTAACCACGCTTGTGTGGGGGATTTATATAAAGACAGGTTTTATCAAGTTCTTCACCAGACTTGCAAGTTACGTAGATTTATTTATAAAAGCCTGAGATTATCCAGATTTCATCAGTCCAGAGTATTTAATTCTATTGATCCTGTGTCTAATATAGATGTTCAAAGGCCCAGGCTAATCTTGCTTGTTTATTGACTGGTGAAAGAGGTGGTTTTTAAAGTACTTTATAACATGTATAGTCTCGCTTTTTTAAAGAACATGTTAAGGCTGTTACTCCAACAGGAAGATTAAGCTCTTCAATAATATGATAATATAGCAGCCGACGCGTACGCTTTGAACTCAATATCCAATATATAATATGTTGGGACACATATCTCTCCGTCGCCTGGCTAGAACCACGTGATATATCATTTTTGGTCTAGCGGTTAGTGCTTTAACAGGTTATGAGCCCGGTCAGCTCTTACCAACACGTGATATCTTAACCAGATCTGGAAGTTGCAGGTTTAAAACCAGGTATAGTTAATCTGGCTTTTCCCATACAGTCTATCCAGTTCGAGGAGGTGCCTAAACCAGAACATGAAGCTATGATAGCTCTGGTTTGAGAGGACCGTGTTGGGATATATATCTCTCTGTCGCCTGGCTAGAACCACGCGATATATTGTTTTTGGTCTAGCGGTTAGTGCTTCGACATAATATGATCAACTTCTTCATCTGAGAGCTTTGATGTATTGCCTTTTACTTTGTGAGGTGTAGCTTATTGATTTTGACACGTATATTAAACTTGGTGATAGCTAATCTGTAGCTGATTAACTATTTATTGATAGGTAAAACCAGTATTATAAAGAGTAAGAACACAGAGATAATCATCACGAGATAGGCATTTTGAATTTGCTTTCAGAGAGGTAGGTTCAGGTGTGGAAGATATCTTTAAAACACCAAGAATTAGTAAAATGTATCATTATTTTCATGTTCGTGAGCTTTAATTTCAACCCGGGACTAATTATATTAGGCAAGCGGTGTTAGTTAGGAGATTCACTGCTGGAAGGATTCAACCCCCTGCACCTCTCCACCATACTAACAAAATTACCGGGGTCAACCATAGTATATAAGAATAATTATAAAGATTCTGATAAAATAATTATAGTACTTATATCTATTTCTAAGAATCTAATTATATTAACATAGAATACCAGAATTAATTTCAATAAAATAATCATGTGAGATATAAAGAATATAATTAATAATAATAAGACTTTTCCTGTGCAGGATAATATTGCTGATTAGAGTGGATATTCTTAACCTGTATTTTAACCGTTTGGCTGGATACAGGTTAAAATATAGAGGTCAGGTATAGATATTATAGATTAATAAAAAAGCATGAGGTATTAATATTATGTAATTTATATATATAAGTTATCTATTTATATATATTACATAATATGATTACCTAATACATCCACATTACCGTATAATACGCAACGGTTAAAAAATCACTAAAAAAAAGGGGGCTAGAATAATTATTACTGTATTAAATACAGACCTTTTGTATTAGGTGGTATTAAAAATATAATCTATAAATATAACTTAAGAATATATTTAAATACAAATTCAAAACATCTGATTTCATTGACATGGTTTACCTAATACCAATTTCAAAAGATCAGTATTTAACCTGGACGGTTAAGAATATCTACTCTACTATTAACTACTCTAATCCTGGCAGTTAATTATATTAAAAAAATTAAAATTTATATAGATACTACTTATACTAATTACAAAGATAGTAAATTAATAGAAAAATATATTATTTTTTATACAGGCGGATCCATTACCTGATTATTAAATAAATAAAATATTATTATATTCTTCTTTATTATTACAGAATACTGTGTATATAATACTATTATTAAAGATATTCTATATATCAAGAAATTAGTATAAATATTTAATTTTAAAATATTAGATAATAATAAAATACTTCTATTCAGTAATACTTAGAGTGGATATTCTTAACCTATATTTTAACTATTTGGCTGGATACAGGTTAAAATATAGAGGTCAGGTATAGATATTATAGATTAATAAAAATATATAAGGTATTACCAATTTCAAAAGGTCAGTATTTAACCTGGACGGTTAAGAATATCCACTCTAGTAATACTGCTAATTTATTATAGATTCTTAATTATAATATATATATATAGTCCATTAAATAGTTAGATAACTGTTATCTATTTATAGTAGATTTAATTAAAAAAAATATTATATTAATCTAATATATTACAGGTACTAGTAATCCTGCAGATAGTCTTATTAAACTGCTGGATTAGAAAAAGTTCTATAACTTCTAGATTTTACTAGAAATAATTTTATTAGCTACCCCCCCTGCAGTATCCAGGAAATAATACTTAATATATAAAAGATTATTTATCTAGAAAATATCTATAATTTTATTTAATATCTTCTTGTATGCTTCTTCACCTAGGGGGCTATATTAAGATATTTATATAGATTAATTATATACTATACTCAGACTGTCTATAAAGTATCTTTTTATATTGCTTTATTTTGCTCTCCTAGATAGTTTAATTTAATTTACTCTTTTGTTTCCGTTCATTCGTTTTGTTATTGCTTTTGTTGCTGCTTCTGTAGAGCGCTCCTCAAGAATTACTATAAATTATATTAGTAACCTATAGATTAGCTTGCCAAGAACTACTGTACAGACAATTTGGCGTAGATATCAGCTGTTAACACCCCGAAATATTGGAGTAGTATTTTGAACTATCGAGGCCAAGTAAACGATCAATACCAATCACTTACATAAACACTGATTGTCACGATGTTCGTAAAATACACCGTCGAAACCTCAGTATACACATCGTCTGCGGGCTGCAAGATCGTTGGAGAGGCCATGACAGGAGTTACGGGACAGATTGTAGTGCCCACGGTGATGGTCTCGGTAGTGAGGAATGTAGCTTTATCCGTAGTAGGACAGTCGGTCACTTGATCTGGACAGGAAGTGACAGTGTGGACTTGGGTGGTAAGGATTGTGGAAGGGGTAGAGTGTCCTCCGGGTGAGGAAGCAGACTCCGGAAGGCTTCTGTTGTAGGTATGAATAGCGGGCTGCGGAGGGGTTAGACGGCTCGGTAGATTGGTGCTTTGGTTCGTGAATGAAGGCATATATGGTACCGATGTAGATGTCTGAGGAAGTTTGGTTGACTCCGGACTCGACGATGCGTGGATAGATGTGGTGGATGCTATGTATTGGCTTGATGATTGCAGGGATACCCAAGGCTTGAATGTAAATATAAAGCCAAGCTTGATGTGGTTGCAGGACGCGAGGTAGTAGACACCGCAAGTCTTGAACTCGGAGTAAATGTTAAAGTATCGCTGGATGAAGGCGAATGTGAGCTGCTGAGCTATATAGCGATGGAGGAACTTGCGGCAGCGGATGGCTGGTTCGGCATGGATGACTTTTCCGAGGTCGTGAAAGATGAATAGTCAACGATAGATGCAGACACAGAGGCCAACGATAACTGTATAACTGGTTTTGAGGTGGACGCCGACGAGGGAGTAGTGGTTCCCAGGGAGGTGACCCGAGTGCTGGAAATTGCGGGTATAGAACCGGATACTGCGACTGGAGATGTGGAAGTTGGCATAACTGACACAGAGCCAGTCTGAGTAGATAATATATCCGGTATAGTGACAGTTGGCGTGTATGTCACAACAGACACGATAGTAGATGTTTGCGTCAAAAGGCCCGTCGATATAGAAGTCTCGGTAACCGTGCAAGGATTGGTGGTGAAGCGCATCGCCGCCCTGTAAGAGGCAGCAGAAGTAGCAGTGAGCGAGCCAGTTAGGAGGTAGCAAGCACGGATCGCCGTATTGTGATTGATGCCGTTACACTCAGTACTTAATTGCCAGCATATCAGCTCGCATTCATATAATGATGCGTAGTTTGCCGAGGTGACAGTCGTCCCTCCCTCTAGAGATACGCCCGAACACCATTGTTGGAACCAGTTGCCGGCGAGAGACCAAGCACCGTTCAAGGTACGGAATGGGTCCGCATATGACTGGTTAGCACAGGTGGTAGTGGTGGTTGTTAGAGCTGAAAGACTGGTGATTGTGCTGGTCACTGTGTCGATATAGGTAAATGTCAAAGTCTCAACTGAGACCCTGGCTGCTGCTTCTGGCTGGACGGTCAGAGCCGCAGTCAATTGAGTCAGGGGTAGCAGAACAGTCAGAAATCTTGCTATTATTCTCCCCATGATTCCATTGGCTGAAATGATCAATAGAACGTAATGATGTGTGTTGGGAGAGAATAGACCGTGTTGCAGTGTGAAAGAATGACTGGAAGGAACGAACGACTACAGCCCCAATTGTCATCTTCCTTTGTGGGCACCCGTTCTTTTATAGCCATCATGATAGAGATATACGAGGTACTATTGGCGGGTACCTGGTCTTGGACTGGGCTAGCGGAAGAATTCCAGTTGCTAATATGATAAGTGGAACTGCAAAAGCAGGTTTGGATATAATAGCCGACGATAGCTTTTAGCGTCAAGAAGTGGCAGAAGCCAGAGTGTCAGCCTCAAGGTGGTAAATACATCAAAGCACTGAAAAAGCAGAAACCAAAGGTATCAGAAACATGATTCGAGAAAGATATGGGTCCCAATAGGTGGCACTGTCGCCGGATAATCAGCATATAGGGTTCAATTTCCATAGCATCTCCGGTATCGCTGCGGGCTAAGATGGTGATGGCACCAGTCCAGAACAGACTGTGACAATAATCACAGTACTCTAATAGGCCTAGTCTCTCAATAACCCGGTCAGAGCTTCATGTAAGCAGCAAACATAAGTGACTCCGAACTAGAAGCATATTCAAGCTCAAGCATAAAACATGACCCAAGTGGGTCGGTCACCAATGACCGGAGATGGTCATGCGGGAGCTGCGATGTCCGCCCGCAGCAATGATCAAAAGGATACCGCGATCATGCAATAAGAGTGATTCTCCGCCTAGACTTTACCATTCCCTGCATCTTACTTGATCCATATATTGGCTGGAGAATCCTTTTCCGAAATGCAACCATGCCGATCGCGTTGACCCCAAGTCAGCGAGCGACAGCTCCGCCGATATCGGCCCGTGGCTAGCCATCCACAGCAGCTATAAAGGAAGCAACGAATACATGCCACTTCATTTCTCATCAACAAATCTTCATTCATACTTCAGGGAAAAAAGAGCAAAATGTCTGAGACAGCAACATACACTCACGGCCATCATGCCTCCGTGCTCCGGTCCCACGGACAACGGACCGCCCTCAACTCCGCTCAATACCTCCTGCCACACCTCCAACCTCACATGAAGATCCTAGACATCGGCTGTGGTCCGGGCACCATCACTGTGGACTTGGCTACTTATGTCCCAAACGGCTACATTACGGGCCTGGAAATGGTCGACGATGTCTTACCAGGCGCCCGACAGCTCGCCGAATCGCGAGGAATCAACAACATCGAGTTCGTCACGGGTGACGCCAACAACCTGGCTTACGCCGATGAATCATTCGATGTGGTTGTCTGCCACCAAGTTCTACAGCACGTGGGAGATCCAGTGAACGTTTTGAAGGAGATGCGCCGTGTCTGCAAGACTGGTGGTATTGTCGCCGCGCGCGAGTCAGATTACTCGGTCTTCGGGTGGTACCCAGAACTCCCTGGACTGCGACGCTGGCTGGACCTGTATGATCGGGTGGCTCGAAAGAATGGAGGCGAGCCCAATGCAGGTCGGTACTTGCATGTCTGGGCACGTCAGGCTGGATTTGAGAAGTCGAAGGTCGATTGTACTGTGAGCGCGTGGTGCTTTACGAAGCCGGAAGAGGTTCAGTGGTGGAGTGGAACATGGCAAGAACGTGCGTTGAAGTCGGCCTTTGCTAAGGGAGCCCTAGATAATGGATTCGCGACGTTGGAGGAGCTCGAGAGTATATCTAATGTTTGGCGTCAGTGGGGGGAGGATGAGGATGCTTGGATATCCATTCCCAGTGCGCAGATTATCTGTCGTAAATAGAGATATCATGTCTTATCACTTATCAGTCGGCGGATAGAGTCGGTCTTATGGCCTTCAAACTCCGAGGCATTTCTTAGGAATAGATGTGGCTACTGTACACGTTATCCGCTCGAGACTTTGGTGTGCATATTGGCTTAGGTAATTTTTGAGTACCTAGGTGTTGATTCTTGTAATTTGATTTGTCTGCTCGTAGTACTGTGCCTCCAAGGCTTCCATCATAGATAACTACTAATTCAACATGATGCCGGATTGGCCATCTTCGTTCTTCGGCGATTCCTATTGGTCGGTTCGCATTTCCACACACGTGATTGGCTGACCAACCATTGCCCCATCTGTGCTTTAGTTATGCCTCAGAAATCCTGGATCTAGGTCTACAATAGGGACAGATGCTTGGAGGAAAACGAGAGATCCAGTCGCTGCTGAATTCTACGTCCCCCATAAACGACGTATAAATATCTGCTTTACATCCCCCCTCGTCTCTTCTTGTTTTCATCCCGTTTACTACCCCTCATCTATCCTTTAAATTGCCTATATCCAATTTTACTACTAGTAGTAAGTCTACTTTTACATCAACCAACCAGCGCAACGATGTCCACCCTCCGCAACCTAGGCCACAATGGCCCCCTGGTCAACGCCGTCGGCCTCGGTACCATGAGCATTGCCGGTGCCTACGGCCAACAAAACACCCGGGAAGAGAAGCTTGCCTTCCTAGACCACGCTCACTCCATTGGACAGCGATTCTGGGACACGGCTGACATCTACTTCGACAGCGAAGCCATTATCGGGGAGTGGTTCAAGCGGTCTGGCAAGCGTGGAGACATCTTTTTAGCAACAAAGTTTGGTCTTAGCTATGATGCCAGCATGCATCAAAGTATTCGATCTGACCCGGAGTATATCCGAATGGCATGTGAGAGGAGCCTGGAGAAGTTGGGTGTTGAGACTATTGACTTGTATTATTGTCATCGGGTGGACGGAGTGACTCCTATTGAGAAGACCGTGGAGGCTATGGTTCTGTTGAAGAGGTGAGCTATAACATTAAATGTGCTATGATACGTTGTTTACATGAGATGTCGGATACAGAGAAGGGAAGATTCGCTATCTAGGTCTTTCCGAAGTCTCCGCTGCTACTCTGCGTCGTGCACATGCTGTTCATCCCATTTCAGCACTACAGATCGAGTACAGTCCATTCTGCCTGGACATCGAGTCTCCCCAGTCTGACGTGCTTCGTACATGTCGCGAGCTGGGCATTGCTGTGGTGGCGTATAGCCCCATGGGTCGGGGGTTATTGACGGGCCAGTTCAAGTCGAGGAGTGACCTTGGAGAGCAGGACTTTCGATGCATGATCCCAAGGTATTCTGAAGGCATGGACAGAATTCTGAGTATAGTGGAGAGGTTCAAGGAGATTGGAGAGGCACATGGGTTTACGCCGTCGCAGGTTGCGCTGGCTTGGCTGCTTGCTCAAGGTCCGGAGGTTATTCCCATTCCAGGTACCCGGAGTGTTAAGTACCTAGAAGAGAACGCTGCAGCGGTCGATGTGAGATTGAGTGACGAAGAGGTTGCTGAGATTAGGGATCTGGTGCAGAAGGCCAACTTTGTGGGAGATCGTTATCCTGAAATGTAAGTTTCTTGGTGATTGAAAAGCTGCTGGCTGGTAACCTTGACTAACTGCGTCTAGTATGCCAATCTTTCCTGATACTCCGGAACTATGAACTATATCATCCTGACTGCGGAATATGGATTGGATAATATTTAGCAGATCCGTATTCAATATTTAATGTTTGCAATAATCGATATAGCTAGTCAAAGAACTCAATGTGTTGTTACCAAACTGTGGCGCAGATGCCCAAATAATCGGACTCCAATCCAGAAATAGAAGTTATTAGCTTCTCTTCCCCAAGAAAACCTGAGTTCCTTGTTTAACGACTAATCACTTTTGATTCTTCAACTGCGACAAAACCGCGCTGTTTCTCAGAGTATCTTTCAGTGTAGTCAAGGGTTCCAACAAAACCTATTACAATGTGCAACGGCAGTTAGTATGGTTCATAAGTACGAGCAAGCATAAGCAAATCTCATTATTGACTTGCCTTGTCGCATTCCTCGAATCCGGCCCCGCCGAAGTATCCATACTCCTGGATATACTGAGCGGCCTGAGATACACCCTCACAAACAACGTCGGGAAATCCCTTGGCGGCCATTCCGGCCTTGAAGGTCTCCTTATCCACCGGTTGGAAGCTTATATCTACACCCATACCCTTTGCGACCCCAACAATTTCTTCGAAAGCGTATGCTCTTCCGGCAACATTGAAGCTCTGACCGAGCGTCTTGCCAGGGTTCAGAAGAATACCCTTGACAAACTTACCCAGGTCAGCAGTAGGGTCAATAATGGGCACTTTGGTCTGGGCGCTTGTTGGTTCAGGGAACGCTAGCACGTATGAAGGGGGTGTTGTTGGAAGGGGTGTCAGTATCTCGAAGAAAAAGGTAGCATAGATGGCAAGAGTGATAATGGTGTGCGGGATCGAGAGTTGACGGATGTAGTCGTCAACAAGAGTTTTGCTGTCGAAATGCACCACGCCAGTGAGTTTATGATTGGTGACTATCCTTCATTAGCCACAAATCACAACGATACGAAAACGACACAATGGGGAAGTGAAGAGAAGAAAGTGACCTACTCCGTGAGATGCCAGGTAAGCTGCTCCAGATAAGATGCTTGACATCCAGCTCCTGTTGGTGTTAGCATATCTCCACAAATGTCCTTGTGTGTCCTACCTTAGCAATATCAGCCACGTTCATGCCTTGTCTAGTCTCGGCGGCAGCATCAAAAGTCTCCCAGAAGTTGGTGACCGCAAAGACAGCATAAGCATCTTTGAGAGCTAAGCGAAGAGAGTCTTTGTCTCCCAGGTCGGCCTATTGTCATCTTTATCAATGATCTTGCACTGCAAGTCCAGTCGGGTGGTGGGTGTGACTTACCTTCATTAACTCCGCACCCTGCTGAGCTAGAGTTTTGGCAGCCTGCTTGGAAGGGTCTCTGGTAATTGCCCGGATGTTGAATTGCTTTGACGCCATAGGATCGGCCAGGATTGCTCGAGCAACCGAGCCACCTTGAATTCCCGTGGCGCCAAACACGACGAGGAGCTTCTTGTCTTCGGACATATTGAGAAGCAGACGTCCTGTAATTTGAGATAGCAGAAAAGAAGTAAAAGAGGTGTAGATTTGTGGGACTGGTTATCAACAGTAATTGTACTCTATGAAATGCCAATGAGATGGTGCTTTTTGAGAGCCTGGAGACTGTTGCTCTACTCGGGACAGGAGCACATATTTATATTTGGCACCCTTATCCCCTACAGATGAGCTAAATCGTTCTGAATTTCTAATAATGATAAATGTTCTATGGAAAAGACCAGCATCCATCGTCCGAGAAAAAAAGACAGAGAGGGTTATATCACTAGCTGCACTGTGATTGGCTCTCTCGCAATACCTTCCAAAAGGGCTTAGCGCTGACAGAACATGTGATGGGAGTCTATCATCTGTCCTTCCAGTTGTTCTTCCTCGTCTTTCTTCTCAGTAATGCTTTGAGCATGAGTCATTTATTTGTTTACATCATAAAATTCATCTTTGTGCAGCAATTTCTATGTGATGTAGCCTTGCCATATGCCGTTGCATGAACGACATCGATCTTACTTACCCACGGCCGGTATCGGACCAGCCGATACTATCGGAATGGTCCGCCACGGGAGATTCTCGAGAGGCTGCCAGGTCTGTAGAAAGAGAAAGATCAAGGTACTGCTCATCAGACTCACTGTCTATTCATACTTTTATCATCAGATTCTCTTATACTTTACGTCAATGCTTATTGAGTGAAATCAACAGTGCGACCGGGCGCGACCGCATTGCAACCAATGCCTAAAGTCTGGGTGGAAATGTCCACAGTATGGTGATTCTATAGAGCGGATGTTTCTTTATCACAACCCAGGGAATCCAGATATAAACAATGGTCACAAAGCAACGACTTCCTCGCCATTTTCATGTATTACGGCAAGGATACAAAGTCCTGAACTGCCAGTAAATCTCGACCCACCAACTGCGAACATATTAGGCGGAAACATAGTCCAATCCACGGAATGTCGTGCAATCGGTTTCTTCATGTCGGCTCACACCTTCCATAACATCGGTCTCATCCGGGGCCATTTCGAGTATTTATCCATATTTAACGATGATGTCATGAATGAGCAACGAGTTTTTGCGAGCCTCCGTGCTGTTGCGCTAGCAGCTTATGCCACCAAGTTTCAAGATGTTGCTCTTCTCAAGAAAGCCAGACAGTATTACGTTGCAGCGCTTCGACATATCAATGCAGCCTTATTGTCCTGCCATGAAGCAGCAAAGAATGCTACCATTATCTCGATTTTGTTCCTAAACACCTTTGAGGCTCTGACTTGTGAGAGTGTGGACTTCCCCTATCAAAGAGAGACTCACTTAAAAGGTGTAGCGTCGATATTGGACATTCGAGGGGTGGGACTTGTGCAATCTCGTCCCGGGCTTCAATTGTTTCGTCAAACCCTCCTCTGCATTTCAGTGACATGCTTAATGCGCTCTTTTCGAATACCCATGGGATTGGTAAAGCTTCACCGCCACACTGCTGCTTACATGGATACTAGTGATCCTGCGTGGAATTTATCAGATATCATGATAGAACTGTCCTATTTCCGCGCAATGGTCAAGGACCGTACGCTCTGCGATCCTGAGAAAATAATTGCATCTGCCAAAGAAATAGACCGCAACCTCTGCTCGCTCGCTGATAACATGCCCGAAGACTGGCGATTCCAGTTCATGGAATTAGAGACTACATCTGAACTCGTCATGGGAATGCAGCTTCACGTGTATCCCGATGCATGGGTCGCAGGTGTGTGGAACAACATCCGTACATGTCGGTTACTTTTGCATGGTGAGATCAAGCAGCAATTGGAGAGTGTGCTGGACACTTCTCTATACGATGCTGTCCAGTATCAGCACTCAGTCATAATAATGCAGCAGCTCGTTTCAGACATTTGTGCTTCCGTGCCTCAATACTGTGGTTACCTACCAGTAAAATCTGGTAGTGTATCATATACGCAGACAGTCAGCAATGGGATCCCCGCTATCGCTGGTATCTACCTCCTATTCTGGCCTCTGCTATATGCCGGGCAGATGGCTATTTCGGAATATCAGCGAGATTGGATCATTGATCGCATGCGCTATATCGGCGAAACAACCGGTATTCAGCAAGCCTTTGTGTTTGAGGCTATACTAAAGCGGGGTGTGGACCCTTTTCAATAGACAAATGCCGAGAGCAGGGGTCTTGTCGGTTCTGATTGTGACGATCACAGTATCGTAAAAGATCATTCGGGAAGGCCATAGGTGTCTCGGGGAAATTGTATATGCTATTGCTGGATGGAATGGATATGAAATGTATAAACACGACAACGGTTCAGACGGATAGAACTGGGTAATCTTTTTAGAACCGCAAAGATAATGGCATCCAGGACTAGCACTAAGGATTATCGTTGCAGCCTACCCATCCGACATAATTCGGGCAGCAGCTGGAATGGAGTCCAATAATTGGTCGAAGCCTGACAATGTGGGCTGGTGATATATGTACGTAGCCGATAGATTGGAAAACAAAAAAGAAATCTCCCCGACTGGGAGTCGAACCCAGGTCTCCCGCGCTTGTTCCCGAAAGGGATTGACAAGCGGAAATCATGACCGTTAGACCATCGAGGATTGGATGAAGTACAATATGCTAATAAGTGTACTATATTGCAGGATGAAGCTGTTCTCAAATTCACCCTGAGAGTGACCGGTCGCATGCTCTGGGAGCGTACCATAACAATCCCCTTCATGCACGGGATACTGAATCTCTTTATTTTCTACTAACCGAACTTGATTTGACTCTGCCTATCAAATAGCTACTGGCTTCTAATGGGTCTACAAAGTTGCCAGATATTTTCGTGGTATGTCAACTTCCGTTGAGAAAATATATATGCCACCATCAACCAATTTATACCTTCCACCTACGTATGTTACCAGTAGAAATTATTCCATCAGTAGCCTCTACTGGTCCCAGTGTACCTTAAGGTTAATGACGTTGACCATCCACCCAAACAATGATAAGCAGTAGACTGTACGGTAATGGTCCATCTTAGCCTTGAAGGGAGCCGGAAACTATTTCAACATGGACCTAATGGTTCCATGCCTCATCCTCGCTACCAGAGCCATTCCTGCCTACCCCTTGCAGATACTAGGCTCGCGAACGGGGATCCATCTAAACCGCGGAAAATGAAACAGACAACTTCACGGTAGACTTGGGAAAAAATATCGAGCGAATATCACCGAGCCCCCCAGGCGATGCTGTTAGAAATTCTTAGATCACATTTTGAGGCCATGAGAATACTGCCCGTTCTGCGACCGTGTCGGAGCGTGAGAATCCATGCTAGCAGCGATCGATTTATAGCCAGATGAATACAGAAGCTCCTCAAAATGCCAATACAACTACAGCTCCAAGGGCGCTGATTATATGCGGTGTTCTATTGCTTATAGCGCTCGCCTTGTACGTTCTTCGAATTTACACGCGCTTTCATCGAGTATATAAGATCAGAGCCGAGGATATCATATTGTCGCTAGCAGTGGTAGGTTTTCCTCATTTTAAGCACCGAGAAGCAGTTCTGACGATCTAAATAGGCCTTGGAGATTGTAGCATACTTCATGATGGCCGCAGCAGCTTCCTATGGCCTTAGTCGTTACGACAAATTCGTTACACCGGGCAATAGAACCCAAGCCCTGCGCTTCGTCTTCACATACGAAATGACGGGTATATGGGCAGGAGCACTATTACGAGTTTCAATAGCAATGATACTTATATCACTACACCGAGCTAAGATATGGCACGCTATTTTGTGGTGTGCAGTATCTGTTCAGCTCGCAGCAGCGCTAGCTTCGACCATCTGTCTCTTTATCCAGTGCAGACCCTTACGTGCCATGTGGGACGTCGTCCCCGACGCAAGATGCTGGGCTCCGCCTCAACTACATATATATGGCTTTGCGTATACTGGTAAGTATCTAACATGCCATGAATTTTCAAAAAGGCACGAGATAAAGCTAATAGAACACCCTGGCTGGCAGGTATCGGCATCCTTACCGACGTCATATTCGTTATCATGCCATTACCCATAGTCTGGAGACTTCATCGACCTCTACGCGAGAGGCTCATCATCATCTTTCTGCTGTCTCTGATACTCTGTGCCACGGCTGCTGCCAGCGTAAAGCTCTACTATGTACGAGTCATTGTGCTCGAAGGAGAGCAGCTACGTTCGCTAGTGGCGCCAACGTTATGGAGCAGGATCGAAGAGATCGCCCTTATCGCCGCCGCTTGTGCGCCTTCGCTAAAGTCTTCGACGGAAGATGGCCTACGTCAGTGTTGGCATTGTTGTGCAAGACATCGTCAGCAAGAGCGACCGAGCAGTTGTGTATCTGAATCGGACCGTTCCAGTTTATACGCCTTTCTGGATCAGTATGCGTCTGCGTCACTGCGTGTGCCGGAGCGGGCGTACCGGAAACTTGAGGGAGTCTGAATCTTTGGTGCTATGGATCATAAAGTTGTGAAATTTGCGATGACCCTGGTGAGTGCCTGGATAATGGCGGGATTTTGCTGGTTTCCCTCAGATTCACAGGACCCGGGAGTGGGGGATTGGAGAGTTGAACCAAATATCTGCAGTGTGTTGCTTATGGGTTGTAATACTATCCTCACTGATTGATCTTTTATTCTTTGAGGAGGAAGTCGACAAACCTACCAGGACACTCGGTAATCGAAACTGTGTATGGTATGATACATAACCGATGCGTTGAATTAATTCGAGATACGTACATATCTAAGGACAGTTCAATCTGGAAACAGGATATAAACCAACCAAAGACATTATCTATCAATATAACATATCAAGTATTCTGGGGAGGAACTGACCCGGATATCAAACGCGTCAAGAGGAACCAGTGTGTTCCCCCGTATAGTATGCAATGAAGCTCATCAACCCAGTCCTTAACCATCGCGAGGTATCCTACAAGTTCAGGCTTTTCTGCCCTCGGGGCCTATAGATCCTGATCACTGAAGCTCGGGTTCCTGGAAAGAGGACTCCTTGGAACTTGTGTAATGGCACTCTTGTCCTCAAAAATACCATCATTAGCCTCCTTAGCAGCATTGCCAGTGCCTGGTACCGGTGCGAAGGGGTGCGAAATGCTCTCACGGACAGGGTGAGCCGTGCCGGTTTGGATATCGCCGTTGTCGGTCACTCGGTGAGCTGCGGAGAGGGCATAATCTCCTGAATCGAAATAGGTCCGTTTCTGATAACTTTCAGCTATGATGAAGAGTTATCATGGTGTTATAATACCTTAGGCTGCTGTCCGAGACTGCCCCCACAAGGCAATCTTCCGTAGGTGGTGAGGATACGCTTGTCGCGCTCGGAAAGCGGCTTTGCAGTACCATGAGCATATGTTATTCAAACCAATAGATGGAAGCGCCAGATTTACCCGATCATGCACTTCTTTGTCACCTTTGTGGTCCATCCAGTGCAGAGATTGTAAGGTGTCATAGAAGCATATGGTGCAAGCACGAGGTCCTCGGGCGAGATGTAAGTCCCTAATGTTTTAGCTAAGGTTCCCATCATCTGTTGGTCTATGCATGACGTATCGGCATGTGACGAAGTTCCAAAATGGTGCTGTTCCATGCGTGAAGCCGCTTTGGTTATCGGCTGTCAGCTTTCGTTCCATGGAACCAACCATCCCCAACGGATAAGTTGCACGAGGGCTAAGCCATGTTCTTGGTTAGATGTGCTGTGGGGCCTGGTCAGGGACCGATTGGGTAACCTATTATGAGTATGCGGAGATATTGGACTGTCAGCTGACAGCCAAATGACGTCCAATCAGCCGTTCGGTACCACTAGGCTAAGCATGTTGGCGAGCAGATAAGCAAAGTAAGATCTAAGAATTACAAGAATCAAGCCTAATAGCATCTTAAATGCCTGCTGCGTGGCTGCCTAACTCAGCCACCGATCCAATTAATAGGGCATGTGCCTATATGTAACGCGTCCAGCCCACCACCATCAATCTCGAATAACTTCCTCTGAAGAACACACGTTAACGAAGTAATACATTTGGCGATTAGACGCCCAAGAGTTAGATAATACCCATATAAGGTATAGCTTTCTCCTTATGTCCAGCGGTGTATGTGGTTTTGATGTTACTTGTCCGGGTCGGGAGAGGGTTTACTTTTTGTCATTTATATGTTTTTTGCTTTGCTCTCTGCTTGCTTGCTTTTTGGTATGTGTCTCATGTTCTTTGTCATTGTGTAATTGCTTGTTCGCTGTTGCCCCTTTAAATAGCTACTGAATTTGGTTCTCGATGAGCATTAAATTTGGCAAGTTGCGTATTGAGGATATCTACAAACCAGGCCTGCGGACACTCCTTGGGTCCCTGGATCCATATTTCCGATACCTACTCGCATAAACATCTGGTGAATACTTCCAGCCTAGGCGTCTCTGTTTATTTCTGACCGCATCCAGCCAGATCTCTCTCCGCGAGACAGGAGTTGGGTCAACGAAGATGAACATTTCATCCACCCCATCATCCCGGAAAGCCTGGGCGCGATCTTCCAGCCACTGTATATCAGTATGGCCTTCCAGGTCGAGTGTTTTGTGGCCCCACTCCTCCGAGAGGTCCATTCCATCTATCAACTCCTCTAGATCTAACAGGCTTTTGGAATCAATCGCACTTTGCACGTACACTGAGAGCTTGGGGTACGGCAGGCCACCTGGGGCGGTTAGAAGATTTCCTAATATGCAGAGCTTTATACACTGTAGCATACCTAGACTCCACTCGATATTCTCTGGCTTAACTGTGAGGTGGCAGTAATTCCCCGGAACTAGGAGCCAGAAAGACGCCCATCCAATTGCCTTGAACCTGGGGTACTTGTGGTTCAGCAAATTTGGCGACCTAAGCGGACTTGGACCACATGGCTGGAGGATATGGCTGTTAGAGCTGAATAATTCAACCGCACGTTGAAATTGCTCATCCGGTATGCATAATACTAGGTCCTGGGCTTATGGTTAGATGGCATTCCCTCAGGCGCTCACACGATAGAGGGTCTTCACGTACGCGTGGTACACGCGTAGTTCCATAATAAATCAGTGCTTGTACTTGAACAAAGCAACATTGTATCCCAGCATCGGTCAAGATGGATAGCATCTTTAATACTTCTTCGTGAGGCTGTAGCCCCTCGTTTATTTCTCCGACTGCGAGTGGATCAAGCGCTGAAGAGATGAACACTTTCTCGGCATTCGCTTTGGGATGGTCCATATTTCCGACTTGAGAATTTAGATATGGATTAAGTGTCTAATAGTGTTATTATTGTTGAAAGGTCCCCTCGAGAGCTGGAAGAACGATGAGATGCCTGCCAGGTTTAGTTAGGTTGGTAAGAAGGATGCCATTGCTAACGCTTGCCCACCCAATAAGGCTGCAAACGGTTGCCTGGTGGGATTTTACAAAGTACGATCAGATGTGGGCCTTCTTAATATTGATTATTGAGATTTCGATTGTGGAGCTGAGGGTCTATCACCGTATCACGCTGTTCGGGGTTATCAAAACGCAACATTCTAACCATCCCAACGTCATTTCCCGGTCCCCGCACATGTTCCTATATTGATGCCTAAGGCAGTAATTGTGAATCACCAATTGCCTGGAGACAGATCTGATGCAGTGAGCGCCTTCTCGGGTTATTTACTGGTTTATTGTTGTCTTCCAACAAATCACAAAAAACAAAAAACAAAAACATACAACAGAAGGGATTCGCTGGTGGTCACCCACCCAACTACTAACCTCCCGGCGTGTGGCTTAAGTACGGCTGAGCGGACGGGAAGCCCTGTTTTCCACACCCTGTGGTCGTATGTATTTATCCTTATTTGCAGGAAGCATATATTCATAAGACGCTTAATATAGCTTTTCGGATATTCGGACCCTGCATTTGTCAGTGCCGCAGTGCATACGGCACTGATCGCTTATCGGAAATTCTCCGTTGACTCGGCCGATCATCGGGTGATATTTTCCTCTGTAGGATAATTCCATCTATTTCCGTTCTCTCCCTCGGGTTCCTCATAATTCTTGAATTTTTCTAGGTCACCTTCTATTCGAAACAATATGGCTGCCAAAACTTTCATCGTCACCGGTGCCTCGAGAGGTACGAACCCAACTCATTATATTGCTTATGTCGGCATCTTAATATGCGACCCCCGACGCTAAATATCCTACCCATGGTATAGGTATCGGTCTTGCAACGGCCAAGTTCCTCCTTTCGGCGCCTCAATCCCACAATGTGGTAGTGATGGCCCGTAGCGCGGAGCCCCTTCAGAAGCTGAAAGACCAGTACCCCACTCAAGTTGAGGTCCTGACCGGCGATCTTGCGGATTTCTCGCTGGGCCAGAAGGCCGTTGACCTGGCCTTGAAGGCCTTCGATCGTCTCGATGGCTTGGTTCTCAACCACGGCATGCTGGGCCAGGTTGCCAACGTCGCGGAGGCGGATCCGAAACAATGGCAACATGGATTTGATGTCAATTTCATTAGCCTGGTGACTTTCGTAAGTTGATTGCATAGACTCCTTGATCAGGTCCACAGAGAAGGGGCTACCGGTATTAGGTACTGATACATCAAAACCAGATCAAAGCTGGACTCCCTGCCCTTCGCGAAACCAAGGGTAAAATCATATTCACGTCTTCCGGTGCATCCGTCTCGGGATTCAAGGGATGGGGTCTGTATGGCGCGACCAAGGCAGCCATGAACCACCTGGCTCTGAGCCTTGGCGAAGAAGAGCCTGAGGTGACGTCTGTGTCCATTGACCCGGGTTTGGTTGATACCGAGATCCAGAGACAGATTCGTGAAGACCTTGCTACCACTATGGACCGCCAATTCCATTCTGTCTTTACTTCGGTCCACCAGGCTGGAAACCTTCTGAAGCCTGAGCAGCCTGGTAATGTTATGGCTAAGTTGGTGATTGATGCGCCGAACTCGCTGAGTGGCAAGTACCTGACGTAAGTTCTACTCTTGTTCACCTATGACATTTTCGTGATATGGTAAAACTGACGAGAGATAGGTGGAACGACGAATCTCTGGAGGCTTTCCAGTAGACTATATAGAATAGACCTGTATATATCGCGACCAGTATATACGATCATAGACTGTTAGACGAAATAATTTCTTCCAGTTCATCTACATTTTACTAGACCACTATAGAGTGGCTGAGTTGAATTAAGTAAGGAAGGATATGAGTAATTGAAGGATAAATCGATGGAGTCGAAGTTATTAGGGACTGTCGATTTGTTACCTGGATAGAGCACCTAGAGCAGAGCCAGACAACCTTTATCAAGAAGATTCAGGGGGTTCATGACCAAAAATAGCCTAAAAAGCCAAGAAAAGCCCCGCATTATGTCATTGGACCCTGCACTAACGAAGTCAGTGTGTGTAGGTTTTGAAATTCCATCAACATTCCTCCACCTGCAAGGCAACCAGTCACTCACCATGCATCTAGATCACAAAGTATCATGGAACACCGCAGCCGCACACATAAACATCATAAGATGCAATCTTCATTTCACACCTCGACGCACCGACTTTTTCGCCCGCAATAAACCCACCGAGTCGTCAGACCTCAACCACTTCCGTCGCGCCCTTACCAAGACGATCCGCGAATTCTCACGCACCGAAGAAACCAAGCCACTCAACCCTGTCCCTCTGGACAGCCTCATATCTGATGATCTACTATCATACCCCGAACGCCACTTCGGCCTCGGACCCCATCAAAAAAACTCCGCCCTGCATAACCCCATATCTACCAAGCACCGAGACATCCAATACTGGATCGACAGCGCTAGCTCTAGTGATGAAAGTTACCCTATAAGCTACTGCAGCGGGGACGGGGACCTCGCCGACGCAGTGAAAATGCTGATCATCATATCCGCAAGCGCGAAAAAGAATGATCCCCTATCAAGGCAAATGTCACGAGAAGCTTTTTCCGCTCTGATAACGCTCTCGCGCCATCCTCAGGTACCTTTGCATACCCTGGCACACATCCATTGGGGTCATGCGTTTGGGGTAGAGCTCGTTGCGGAGCCGGCGTTGACGATCTATATCATGATTAATCTGATGGATGCGCTGGTCACGCAGAAACGGTTGAAAGGGGATGATGGGAACGTAGCTTCACTGATGGAAACGAAAACATTTCAGTACTGGGCGCGTCATGCGCTTGCGGACTATGATTACCCGACGCAGAATGTTCCGCATCGGGAGTTTTGGGATCACTTTGGGGTCACGGATATGTGGCCTTTGCAGCAACGGTGTGAGGAGGGTCTTGATGCAAACTTGAAGGATGAGGGTATTACTGATCCGTTGAGGGGGGAGAGTGAAAATATTAGAGTTCGCTTGAAGGAGTATTTGAACACCTGTTTCGCTATATTGTACATATATGATATGCTGCTGCGGGAATGGTATGGGGAGGAGGAAGCTGACGAGAAGTGGAACTACTGTATTGGTTCCTTTTTTGAGTCTTGGGGATGCAAGGTCTGGATTTGACTTC